TGCTCGACACTCCACAGGGGAATGGATGTAACCATGTAAGTATGTACTCATTAGCATTTCATGTGTATTATAAGACCTTAATATTATGTAAAAATGTGTTTATTTCATAAAAATTAAGTGTTTGAAACTAATTTAAGTGACTTTCGCCTCAAGTCAAGCCTTTTTTTCCCTCAAATTTAAATTTATTCTTGTATAAATTGATGTTAACCTAATAAATATGTTGAATTAATAAATTATTTAGCATATCTTTATAAATTAATGGATTGCATTTGTGTTTCTATGCGTTTTCATATTTTTTCTGCGTTTCCATTGCGTTTCCGAAATGTTTTCGAAACGTTTCTATTTTTGAGTTGACCGAAACGGTACTTCGAAACGAAATTTTGATCCTTGGTCGGAGTTGAGCAAGATTTGCCCGGATTACATCAGTGTAGATGCCGGGACTGTGGTTGACAATGAAGCTTGATAAAACTTTCGATTATGTAACTATGGTGATAAAACTCTTCATAAATAACAGCTCAGCGTGAAAAATATGTACGGATTGACCCATCGTGCCCCAAAAAACATCTTTTTTTATTATTGCTTTGCTTTCTTTTTCTTTTTTAGTTTTCTTCGCTCTATTTTGTTTGGTCTCATTCACAACTACGAGACAATTTTTTTCTTTCCCTCTTTCTCTGTGACTGGCACCTCTCATTCTTCTCATCCTCTTTTTTTCTTGAGGCAAATTCCCCATCTAAACCGAAAGCAGCAACTTTGCTTTAAAGAGGACCCCTTTCAAATTGTTTTCTTTTGGTCTATTTCATAGGAGCTAGGGCAGCCGTCTCAAACCATTCACGTGAATAAGAAACCAAATCACTATGAAAGGGGATCTTCCCCAACGACATGGCACATATGTCACACTTCTAGCTTTTTTTTTTTTTTTTTTTTCTGTTTTCTCATTGTTGCTCTTTTCGATAAAAATCTCTGGCAACTCTTGTTCACCAGGATTTGGGTCCACTATCTGAGAACAAATTGAGAGTAATGGCCAATGGCCCTATCCATCATGCTAACTGATTGCCCACAAGAAGCAATGTGTCATCTCGTATGTTGTTTTCTGTTGAAGTATATGCTATGATATCCATTTTTACTATGTAATTTAAAGTTAATTTTGATCTTTCTCTATCCTTAACATTTCCATCAATAAGTATCACATCACTCAGTTTCACTAGGGCTGCAGTAATAGGTTTTCTATGAATATCTTTAAACCACATAAGTCGATTCTTTTGATTAACATGGAATTTGTGTTACTTCCATTTTTGTAAGAGTATAATCATTCATATTTCTCTCATTTTGGGTTCTGTTTTGCTAACTGTTCAATATACTATCTTGCTGGAAGTATCCCTGATCCAATTAAGAATGAGTAGGCCCAAATAACTTGATTGGGGCAATAGATTAGTTCTGTCAGCAACAGAAGTTGCAAAAAGGACGGTAGTGATATTACTAGAAAGAACAGTTTCAATAAGTTTTATAGTAAAATTTGGAATGGCAGACTACTTTCCAAGTTTACTTCAATAAAGAAATTTGAAGAAAACATCTTAGTGTACTACAGGGCCATTTGACTCAATAGCTAGTGCAGTGTGTGACATAAATGGCTTTGAGATGTAAAAACCTTTCTTAAAGTATTCTCCAGTTTCAATTTTTGGACCAATGTATTATGCAAATTCGCTGCATACAGCCTACACCCATCCTTGTGGAAAACTGACGTTTTCTAATGTGTTATACAGAAAGATCTGAGCAGTTAGACTGGGATGCACGACTCAATATAATCATGGGTACTGCAAAAGGCCTTGCCTATTTGCATCACGATTGTTCCCCTCGAATTATACACCGTGACATAAAGTCAAGCAACATTTTGCTTGATGGAAATTTGGAAGCTCGGGTATCTGACTTTGGACTAGCCAAATTGTTGGAGGATGAAGAGTCCCACATTACAACCATTGTGGCTGGAACTTTTGGGTATCTGGCTCCAGGTATATTATGTGAATTGCAGTTTCTCCTTATTCTGTATTTTTAATATTGTCAAGTGGGTATAACTCTTAATAGCAGTAATAGTGGGAAAGGATTCATGGTGGCCCTCACCGGTTGGGTAGAGCCATGAACTGCGATGATGGCTTATGTCGGTCTCTGATCTTTGTCATTATTGTTATCTTGAATACTCAAAATGGTTTGTGTGTCAGAGCTTTAGAACCGCGGGCTGCGATGATGGCTTATGTTGGTCTTCTATACTGTCAATATTGTTGTCTTGAACATGCAAAGTGGTTTATTTATTAGGTCAGGGTAGATGATTTCAAAAGCAATGAATTATCCATCAAAATTATTTACTATTCTCAGCTATTTCATTTAAAGTATTTGGGATAATATAGCATGCCAGTTCAAAAAAAAAAGAAGATAATACAGCACGAATGCTTAGAAGTCTGGCTAGATGATCTCTAACTTACAGGATTAGGGCTGACTAGATGATCTTTTTTCTTGAGTGTGTAGGTGGATATTGTGTGTGTGTGTGTGTAAGAGAGATAGAGAGAAGGGGTTGTTATAAGAGTATTAAAATAATCTGTTTCTAATATTTGCCCTTCTAGTGTGAGGCACTTAAAATATTAATCTCACTACAACCCATATATGGTGATTTGGACTTATAACCGCTTAAATGAGAGCTTTTCCAGAAAATGGGTAATTGGACTATTTTGATTTTTTGCATATAATCCAACTGCAAACGAGAGGTTGGTCATGTGGAAACTATCCTAGTCTTTTCCTTTTGTAACAAGGCTATACGGAGATTGTTTTATTTTTCATACATGCCCTCCCAAAGTATTCAATCTTGAAGACCCGTCTGTTGCTTTATTTGTAGAATATATGCAGAGTGGCCGAGCAACAGAAAAGACCGATGTTTATAGTTTTGGGGTTCTGGTGCTCGAAGTTGTTAGTGGAAAGCGGCCCACTGATGCATCATTCATTGAAAAGGGCCTTAACATTGTTGGCTGGGTATGCCTCCTCTCTTCATCTGTTTTTGTGCTTTCATTCATTGTTTTTGTAATCCTCTTTGCTGTGATGCCAAATTTGAACTTATCTGCAAATGAATTTGAGGTCAAGCAATTAAGTGCCAAACCTTTGTAAGACGAAGACGATGGCTAGAGTGGTCTGCTTGATTAGATGCTGAAAGAGCATCGCATACCAACTATGCTACATTTCTTTCTTTAATTTCACTTGTGTTTATTTTTACCAGTTATCTTATTTTTTTCAATGCTCTTCTGTACATATTATATTCTGTGCCTCTATTTTCTTTCCATGCTAATTGTTTGAAGTTTGTGTCCCATGTGGTCGGAAGTTGGATGGATTAGCCTTGCCCTATAAAGAATATTAGAAAATTGGCTATTTCGACTTATATATGAAGAGAAGAAGATGCCAGCTTGTAGCTGGTAAAGTCTCTCAGGTAGCTGTACCATGATCTAGGATCAAATCTCATGTTCATCCAAGTTGCAGAGAAATCTATTGGTTGGGAGTGGTCATATCTACGAATGTTGCAGTTCCAACAGTTCCAGAAAAATGAGTATCACATTCTAGTGCATTGCGAAAGTTGTTCTGTTTCTTTCCATCTAATTACTATCTATGGCTGCCCTTATGTAAATTTTGGCCCATACTTCTTTGAGCTATGCATGGTCACCATTTAAGCAATGATCTTCATTGGTGTTGCCCATAAGAAGATGATGCTGTTCAGTAGAGGATTCTTAAAGATGACATGATGCAACAATGAATAGTGGACTTTCTTTATCTCTCTGTAGTACCTTCCTAGAAATCAAAATTTCCCGAGGGTGATATAATAGTCTTTCACTAATACATTAGTAACAAAGGGTGTGTGAGAGTGAGAGAGAGTTAGATAGTGGTACATTGACATGATTAAAGATATGTATGAAGGTGCAATGACTTTCTTGAGTATAATAGCAGAGGAAAGTAGTGAGTTTCAGTTCACTATATGCAAGGGTTCTGCCTCTATTCCGTATGTTTTTGCCTTGATTGTGGATGGGTTAACTAAGCACATTTAGAGTGAGTTTCATGTGTATACTTTTTTGATGATTATATTTTATTGACTTGTAAAACGAAAGTAGTTTACTAAAGTGAGAATTAACAGTAAACTTGAAGCTTGGAGCAAAGCTTTAGAACCAAAAAGATTTGAGATAAGTAGAAATAAAATTGAATATGCACAATGTAATTTCAATAATGGTAGAAATTCAAATAGGGAGGAAGTAAAGATCGAAGATCAAGAGATATCAAACAACAAACACTTCTAGTACTTGTGGCCTATTATCTATAGGGAGGTGGAGATTAGAGATGATGTTAATGATAAAACTAAAGCATATGGTATATTATGTGATCGACATATATACCTCTTATATTGGAAGTTTAGTTTTACAAGACGGTAATTAGATACTATAATTTATAATATAGAATTCTGGTAAAAATGAGGATGTTAGGACATGTGCAATAAAATTGTGTTAAAAGATGTCTATGAGGAGTATTTATGTACTTTGAGTGTTATTATTAGAAATACATGAGGTTAAGGGAGATAACTTAATTTTCTCATTAGCTGTCACTATTGTCATAAACGTATTCTCTTTCTTACTACTTTCTTATCCTTTCTCTTTCATAATTTAACTTGGTATCAAAGTAGATGGTTGATGATCCTGGGTGGGCTCTCAAAGAAGCGGTATAGCTTGCCAGTACCAATGGTAGCTCTTAAGAAAAGTGATGGACTCTTGATATTGAAGTCATGGAAACACAACTAAAAAAAAAGAGCAAGGCATGGGCTTGGAGCGCAAGGGCTCTTGGTGGTAATGTGGTGACTCATAAAAGAGTGGTAAATACTTGGTTATTGAAAGTGCGCACGGATCAAAATATTGTGTTGAAACGTCTGAAATGTTTCGGATTTTCAATACATTGACACGAAACAAGAGTTGAAACAAAAAATTTTAGAGTTTTGAACAAACCGTCAATGTGTCGACTGTTTCAGTCGAAACAGTAAGATGATTTGATAGCAAATTCAAGGCAGAAAAGGGGAGAGATTCTTCATGTCATTCTCGTCCTCTTCTCAGCACAACAAAAAAAGAACAAAAAAAAGAGAGAGACAGAGACTGCAAAAATCGAAAGAAGAGGAGAACTGAGTGAGAAGTGCCTCTTACTAGAGGCCCTCAAGTCTAAATCTGAGCAGATCCAAGCCAAACTCTACTCCCACGAACCAAAAATCCAGTCTTCTCCACTCCCTGAGTCCAGATGTGAACCGGTACATTTTTTTTTTCATTCTTTCTTCCTTCTTCTTTGTAGATCTAAGATGGAGAGACCTAGATCTGGCCTTTGCTTGTCCTAGCTCTTCGTCTACTCCCTTCTTTTCTCTATCTCTCTCTAGAGAAGTATATTTTCTTCTCTCTCTTACTTCATTGAGAACAGACGTCTATTATGTTTATAATACCCCACCCCCCTTCATTGAGAACAGACTCAATGTCTGTTTTGTTTCAATCCCCCACCCCCTTTTTTCTGTTATTTTTTATCTTTATTGTAATTGTTTTAAAATTTAATTCCTCCTCTTTGTTTCTCTTATTCTTTATACTATTGTTTTTTACTAAATTGTTATATTAACAATATATCTTATTTGTTAAATATTTGCAATTAATTCTATGGTATATTAAATATTTGAAATTAAGAATTTGGGTGTGCTAAACTTGTTTATTTCGTGATTTTAATATTAATGAAATAATATTACTTATTAATTTGATGACAATTTCAATTAGTAATCTAGTATTAATAGCCTGTACCAATGGGCCTTTGGTCCAATGGTATTCCTTACTTTGTGATGGTTTTGCCTTCTTAAGGTCAAGAGTTCAAGTCCTTCCCTCCCCTCCCCTTTAAAAAAAAAAAAACAGTATTAATAGCATGCAAATAATAAATTTGTACTCATTTGATTAAAAATTATTATACATCTTAATTTGATTTAAAGTATGAATATGATGTGTTATACACTCATTATCACTTTATTTGAATTATGAGACCTTAACATTATGTAAAAATGTGTTTGCTTGCTGAAAATTAAGTGTTTACAACTAGTTGAAGTACTTTCCGCCATGTTTCTAGTCTTTTTTTTTTCCACCAACTTGATATTATCTTGTATAAAATGGATGTTAACCCAATAAACATGTTCAATCAATCAATTGTTAAACTTATCCTTATAAATAAAGGGATTTTATATATGTTTCTATGTGTTTTCACACGTTTTTATATTTTTTCTCCATTATTTCTATTGTATTTTCAAAACGTTTTCACTTTTGAGTTGACCGAAATTGTACATCGAAACGATATTTCCATCGTAGCATAGACTCTTATAAAGAATGGTTGGGCGCGGTGCTTGCACAGAGTGATGGATCAGACTTAAAGGGGAGTAAAACTCAATGTTGTTCACACATGTGGGGAGATTGTTGGTTATTACATGTGTGGGGAATCCTACATCGAATAGGAAATTAAGTGTCCTAATATACTATGAATGAACTCACCAACTATAGGTTTAAGCTTTTAGGTGTGTATGGATTCTAGACATGTATATTGGGCCTTAGATCACTGGGCTCCCCGTCTCCCAACAAATCATGTCAGATCTCGGTCCGTAAGTTGATATTTTTGTTTTTTATCTTGTTTTATAACGATGTAGTCCTATTATCTTTCTCTTATAGTATAAACTCTAAATCAATTATGAAACTAGAATCCTAATTTTATTAGGAATCCGAATAAAGTAAAATTAACTGGAAAATAAAATAAAATAATTTTCTAATTAAATTAGAAAATAAAATAAAATCTCCTAATTTTACTAATTGAACGACGTTGGCCACATTCAAATAAAATACAAAAAATCTTGTCGGTTATTCTACATCACCATCCCTTCAGATTAGTTTAGTTAAATTGAATGACACCAACTATCTGATTTTGTCACGATCATGTAGTTCGGCTATTACTACATGTGGCCTAACTTGTTATATCACATTAACTCTCATGGATTCTATGACAGATGGACCAACATGGGAGCAATGGTGATTAGAGAATGGTCTTGTCATGACATGGTGGATTAACTTAACGTAATCGTCTATTAGTTGCACCTTTTTGTTGATGAACACGAGATAGAAGATTTGGTGTGCAGGCGCGCAGACATACTCACAGAAGGATAATGACAGAGACCTATGGCCTGAGGAAAAAGATTTGTGGTGTAGATCCAAAAGATAAATCCCTTNCTTTAAAAAAAAAAAAACAGTATTAATAGCATGCAAATAATAAATTTGTACTCATTTGATTAAAAATTATTATACATCTTAATTTGATTTAAAGTATGAATATGATGTGTTATACACTCATTATCACTTTATTTGAATTATGAGACCTTAACATTATGTAAAAATGTGTTTGCTTGCTGAAAATTAAGTGTTTACAACTAGTTGAAGTACTTTCCGCCATGTTTCTAGTCTTTTTTTTTTCCACCAACTTGATATTATCTTGTATAAAATGGATGTTAACCCAATAAACATGTTCAATCAATCAATTGTTAAACTTATCCTTATAAATAAAGGGATTTTATATATGTTTCTATGTGTTTTCACACGTTTTTATATTTTTTCTCCATTATTTCTATTGTATTTTCAAAACGTTTTCACTTTTGAGTTGACCGAAATTGTACATCGAAACGATATTTCCATCGTAGCATAGACTCTTATAAAGAATGGTTGGGCGCGGTGCTTGCACAGAGTGATGGATCAGACTTAAAGGGGAGTAAAACTCAATGTTGTTCACACATGTGGGGAGATTGTTGGTTATTACATGTGTGGGGAATCCTACATCGAATAGGAAATTAAGTGTCCTAATATACTATGAATGAACTCACCAACTATAGGTTTAAGCTTTTAGGTGTGTATGGATTCTAGACATGTATATTGGGCCTTAGATCACTGGGCTCCCCGTCTCCCAACAAATCATGTCAGATCTCGGTCCGTAAGTTGATATTTTTGTTTTTTATCTTGTTTTATAACGATGTAGTCCTATTATCTTTCTCTTATAGTATAAACTCTAAATCAATTATGAAACTAGAATCC